GTGCCGAGTGCGTGCTTCATCGGACGCCAAAACCATCAAGGCGGAGTTTCCGGCCGGCGCAAGTGCAGAGACAAGAGCAAGAGCTCACCTTCTCACCTTACCTGAAATTGCGACTCCATTCTTCCTTCTCTCAGTTTGTCCTGGTAAGTTCGCTACAGCAAACATTTACACGTGAAGTTCCTATCCCAGTTGATTCGCGAACGCTAACCCCACCAAATATTTTGAGGTTAAAAGAGCACGAGGATCAGAAAATAACAAAACGGCATTTGAGTGGGCCTGGGTCGTCTCTGCTTTCGACCCATCACAGATCAGAACAAATCTAATTTTGTTAAGTTTCGGCTCGCGATCCTACTCGTCTTCGTTAGAGTGAAGTCCTTCTCGCACTATGACAATGTGTGCCTACGTATAACATAACCTCAACACTGCAACCTGCGACCATCTTGTCTCGCTCAGCGATGTGGATGTGGCCGTGAGCCACCGGCACGGCCATGGCTAATGAACGTGGAAACGGTGTAAAGTTTTCTGCTAGAGCGGTCACACACCCGGGAAGAGAACGCTAAGTAAAAATAATCGTTGTGGTTGTGGTGTCAGTACAGTACACAGCCACAGCCTCCCAGATGCCTATACATACCAAGGTAGCTCCCCGCTACACATTAGTCACTAGAGCCTCCTCCAAATGCCAATCCTTCCCCCGCCCCTTCCTCCTCCCTGGTCCCACGCAGACCGGGCCAAACTTATGTAACAACAACAACCCCCGCCCCTTTCCGCCCCTTAGCCGCCGCAGCGCAGCGAGCACGCACTCAGCGAGCGTGGCGCATCTTACGACAAAGTTGTTGTTTCTCAGCCTTTCCAGATCATGACTTGAGCGCTGCTTCAGGAACACATTTCGCGCAATAAGAGCCACGTGTCACTTGGCCCAACTTCACTACCGTGATGACGACTCAACTCATCTGGCCGGGGCCCGGCATGTTTGTAAAAGGCTACTCTTTTTCATCGCCGCGTTTCATTGATGGGCACGCCGGACGTTTCACGATCTCGCCCGCGAGTGCTAACCGAGACCCTACAATCACTTGTGACATTGATGCTTCCCTGGCGAGATCGGACGATAAGAAACCATGAAGACAATTATGAGTTACATATTCTGTCGCAATTTTATTTGTATGTATGTTTATTTATTCGTTTTTCAACCGCAGACTCGCTGTGTATGAAGGCGCGTCGTCCCGTGGTTAAACGCGGAGGGTTCGGCCTCACAGAGTAATTAGCTCGGCACGCCCCGCGGGCCGGCAGTGCGGGGGCGGCGTGGCAGCCGCAGCCGCAGCGAGCTGCAGAGTCGCCAGGACAACCAGCAGACTGATTCAGAAGAGCGCTCTCCTCGCTCCGTCTCTCTCCCACTCATGGGGCGCGCCGTACAGGTGTGAGAGAGACGGAGCGAGGAGAGCGCTCTTCTGAATCAGTCTGCAGGCGATGCTGCCAACCCCGTGCTGCCTTCGCCCTCTCGTTGGACGTTATTCCCCCGACGACGAGAAGCCCCCGCCCCGGCCTGTCTCTCACATTTCCAGCGGGGCTGAGGCGTTTTTAATCAAGTCCAGCAGGGAGCAGCTTGTTCCCCCTCGAGGGGTCGCCGAGCCCAAAGTCTGGCTGGGCGAGGTGCGGGACAGCATCACGTATACTGCACCGCAATCAGAGAGGGCCATTCACGCCGCCCCTGCTCACTCATTGCTCGTCAAGTCATGAATAAGGGACGAGGACCACTTAATGAAATCCCGTGGTGCCATACCGGGGCCAGCAGCAGGCCTGCAGCCGGGCCGCTGGGCCGGCCGCCGCGCGCTCGAACAGCGCTGGAATGCGAGAGACTGCAGGCCGAGTGAGGGGGCGGGGGGCGGACGGGTGAACAGAGAGGCACTGCCAAGGCGAGTAAAAGGGTCCCATCCCGGAGGCCTTTGCCGCCGGTGCATAGTGCCTTACAAATGCTCCGGGCGGGACACTCTGCTCTGTGTTGCGCGGGCTTGCCTCTCTTCGCGCGCGGCAGGCGCCGCCGTGGCCCCCGGGGGGCGTTTGGCGGTCTACTTCCGTTCTCCCACCAATACGCCCCCTCTCACCCAGTTGCGGTTGCTTCAGAAGGCGTTTCGGGTAGTTTTCGGGGGGCTCTCCCCGATCGCACTCCTGCGGCCCAAGAGAGTGAGCAGGGGTCGAGTCCAGGCAGGCACACCTGTTCAATGCAATATTGATTGACTGGTGTAGCCAGCCAGTGCCGCCGAAAGCACAGCCGTCCGTCCAACGATGTCCGTCCGTCTCATCAGGCAGAGAGCCCAGGCGAGTCCCGCCGCTCGGCCAGGCCGGCCGGCCCGGCCCGGGCGAAGCGGTAACATGACACTAAGCCTTCATGAATGGCATCTCCACGGACGGACCTGGGCTGGCTGTGGCTGCTCCCGCTGTTGCTTCTGCTCTCGCTAAAAACACTACTCCCGTGCCCGTGCTTACGCACCCGTTGAGGGACCGAGAGAGGACTCACCTCGCCACCCAATTCAGGAAGCTGCCGCCTCGGGCATATGGGTTATTCGTTAATTCAAGTTTCATTTATACCCAGGTGTCACACACACATTTACAAGGCTTTTAATCATCTGCCTTGAAAGGGACGAGGAAGTTACACTTGATTATTTCGACTGTTTTATTTTATTTTTTGCGCATCGCGGTCCGCAGAGTTAAGGCCCAACAACGTGTTGCTTGGAGGTTTTATCAGCATACAAAATGTTCCCAAATTTCTACGTCTCCGAGGAAAAAAAATACTTGCCATTATGAACAAAATAGGCATGCCTTTCAAAAGTGTGCTGAGGGAGCAAAAGCAAGCAGATGGTGGTTGAAGGGGCATCCCAAGAAGGGCCCCTGGAGCATAGGCAACCGACCCGCCACACGCCTTTCCTGTGTGTGGTACAGCATAACCACGCATCAATCATGCACGCAGTTCGCGTACCACAAAAGTAGCCCATTTAAACTTTGACTCCGTCTTACTAGTAAGCCGAGTCAGGACGAGGAAAACATGCCGCGTTAGTAAAGAGGCGTCGGGTTGTGTAAGTGGGGGAGGGGGGGGGCGTGGCGTCCTTACACCCACTTACACAATACGGCGTCTGCTTCATTAACGCGGTATATTTTCCTCGTCGTCTTGATTCGCCTTCAATCGTCCTGAGATTATGCGGATACTTCACTGTAAACAAAATTATCGTGATTTTACGAAATTTTCCCGGTTAATTTCCTATTACGAAACCTTTGTTTTTAACAAATTACGCATGTACACACTTCCTAGTGTGTACCATGCTAGGCACACACTTCCTTGTGTGTGCCTTCAAGTACACACAAGGAAGAGTGTACTATGTACACAGTTGGGTTTACAGATTATTTGTAACATTACAAAATGTTTCGTAAATTGACACTTACGAAATATATTTTCGTAACATTTTTTTTCGTAAATTCACGAAAACGTTTTACAGTGTTTGTGAATGTGGGGTGGGCGGCGGTGGCAAGAAAACACAGTGGAGCCGTACAATTGTCGCCAATCTCTTTTCGTCGCCCCATCGACCGCCGAAGGTTTCCCCCTGCCGCCCTAACGACTGTCACCCCCATATCAAATTCCCACGGGCACGTCGTCAGGATAAGTATGTCTCGTGCTCTCCCTTGTCGCGGCTAGGCGAGGCGGTGACCTTCCAGAGCGCGGCGTTGGGCTGCCTAGCGCGGCGCTAGCGGCGCCTCGGTAGTGGATGAGGTCGCGGGGGCGGCAGCGGGGGAATGGGATGATCATTACTGTCGCACGTCGAGAGGCAGCGCGGCGGGGTGCGAGGCGAGGCGAGGCGAGGGGGTTTTCACTCGGGATTTTCGTGTACAGCGCATAATACGTGCATTTCTCGGCGCCACGCAGGTGTTACACACACGGGTCTTGCAGCCTTAATTATACCACTTTACAAGCATAATCGTCCGTTTTGGAGGATCACATTACGCGTAATGCCTAATTTAGGTGAGGGGGCAATAACTCTGAATTCAAGTGAACACATGATTCCCGGAATCCATGATTCCCGTTGATTTCCATTGATTCCCGTGCCGGTGTGTACACATGATTCCCAGAGTTATTGCCCCCTCGAATTTTGTTGCACACGGTAGGCCTATAATATATTAGGGGAGTGGAAACCCCCTCGGGTATAGTCGCCTGCCTGCCTACCACAGGGAAATAAAACCAGTGAACCAGTGGCAATAACGTATAGTTCCCCCCC